AGTTTTCAGGGTTTGCGATTTTATAGCCCTTATTAAAAAAGTGTAGCAGATTTTTTACCCTTCAAAAACCAGGGTTTGCAACCCTCCAGCCCTGATGAAACAGGGCAGCAAGGCAACTACCCTTAATGCACTGTCTGGCGAGCCACATGCGTGCTGGAGACTCTGTGTGGGCGCTAACTGGCCCTTAGCCGAAATCAGCGCTCGATGCGTTGTGGGGGCTTTGTGAGGGCGCTAACTGGCCCTTCGCCAAAATCAGCGCTCGATGTGTGCTGGGGTCTGTGTGAGGGAGGGTGCTGATTGGCCCTTAGCCAAATTTCCTCCAAACTTTACTCGAGGAGGTGTGAGGGGACTGATGGTACCTTCAATTGTTTCTGTCGATGTGTGCTGGAGGGTGTGTGTGAGAGAGCGTTCATTGGCCCTTCACCAAATCTGCCACCCACTGAAATGCCTTTCCCGCCCTTGCAACTGTCATTCGCCCGCCCCTCCAATTCCGCCCCCCACCCACGCGCAACTCGCTTGAGTCACAAGTACGTCAAACGTGTCGCACTGTACATTTTGTCAAGCCAGCAACATAACCCAAGCTCCTGTCCATCCGAAGTTAAAAAACACTTTCGCTATTATAGTCAATGGCTTTAAATGGCAATGCAGAGGGCAATGAAGAACAGGGTGGTTTAAAATATACCCTGTGTAAATAGAACTGCAAAATGTTTACCCTGAAAAATCAGGCTACCAGATTTAGGTACCCTGTGTGACAGGGTGTTTTGGTGGGGCGACCCCGTTTTCAAAGGGCGGCCCAAAACCAATTTTGGGCCCTGGGAGTCACCGCCGATATGCACATATCTCCCAGTCAAAGCTCAGCTCACGAGCATCCCAGCCTGCTGCAAGTCTTTGCGCATGGGCTTCTCTAAGAGGCAGTGCAGAATGACACTAGTGCAAATTATGGCCTTGGGGGGGGAGGGTTTGTTGGTGAGGCTGTTAAATAATATATTGTGTTATATAATTGTTAGGATTGGTAGGTTACCGAACTATACTGTAGAGGGTACAATCCCCTCCTTATATCCCTCTCTCTTTCTAGTTCTCTCTCTTTTCTCTCTCAACTTTCCTAGCACCTAAAACCTCGCCATTTCCATGGCTCCTCCTACTCCTAGCTAGAACCTTTCTAGCTCTCTTAACAGAGGCTCCAGGGTACAGATGGCAATATGCATGCACACCTCTTACTTGGTCAAACTCAGGAGGAGTATCCCAGCCAAGGCCTCACATTCGTTTTGGGGCACGCTGATCGCTCAGGGTCCCCCCCCTTCAGCTCCCTGTTTTTTCAGGCCTCTCAAAAAAAATTACGCTGATCAATCAGGGTGTTGTAAAAAAAATGCGCTGAATAAACAGGCTCAACTACAGAAAACACGCAGTTCAAATACCACATGCCATTATTTGTCACAGGTCGTGATTACAGTCTTGGTCGGTCACTGTCAAGTTGGCATGAGTGACAGGGGGGGCGTAGCGCGTGTAGTTGTCGACGAGCACAAGGAAGTAGCGCTCACCGCGCGGTCCGGGGACGGGGGCAGGGCCCCAAACGTCCAGGTGCAGGGTCTGAAGGGGGGCAGTAGCAGGGCGCAGCGAGGAGGAGTGAGGAGCACGGCGGAGCCGACCCTCGACGCAAGGCGTGCACGGTGGCGCAGTCGAGGGAGGAAGGGCAGGGAGCGACGCGGGGAGACCTAAGACAAGACCGTGCTGGGACATGTGACGCAGACGCGGGAGAGCAGGGTGACCTAAGCGGTGTTGCCAGTGAAGGGACGGGTGAGTGAGGGACCGACACGAGCAAGCTACAGCGACCTGGGAGGACGCACCAACCGGGGGGGAAGCGGTGTCTAGGGTAAACAGACCGGACACCGGGTCCCGGGGGAACGTCGCAAGGGGGGAACCTGAGACAGCCTCAGAACAGACAGCGAACCGCTCGTGCCCAGGGAACGTGGTGGTGACGCCGAGGTCCTGGAGACAGCCGACACCAACCAGGTTCCTCGAGAACGAGGGAACGTGGAGGCCTGTAAGGGAGCCCGAGGGAACTGTTGGACAGGGAAGGGACGTAGAACTGCGAGCGACGACAGGACCCGCAGAGGGGTCAGCGAGAGACACAACAGCAGGCGCAGCAAGCGGCGTGAGCGTGGAACGGTCGCGGAAGAAGCAGGCAGAAGCACCGGAGTCGAGAGTGAAGGACAGCGACGTTGTGGCGGAGGCCGGGGACGGAGCCAGTGCAGCGACTAGACTAGGCAACCTAGGCAGTCCTACGCCTGACGCAACAGGGGAGGCTAAGCTACACAATGGTGCAACACCTAAACTAGAGTACACAGGGTAATAAGATCCAGCAACACTAGAAGCGTCAGAATACAAAGCATGCAAAGCAGCACCTATCTGATCCATGTCTAACTCAAAGATCGTCACGCCCTGGCGGAGCAGGCTGTGCCAGTCGGGGAGGTCCGGGGCCGGGCCAAAGCGACGACGAAACAGATCGTCGAGGCGGCGGAAACAGCGGGCGGTCGGGTGCGGGCGACGGCACAGAGTGTCGCGAAGAGGCCCGGTCTGAAGCTGGTACTGGCAGGTGACAGCACCAAAGCCGCCGGTAGACGCCAAGCTGCGCGGGCCGCCACCACGGCCACTACCTCCGGAGGTGCCGGGCTAGCCAGGCGGGAGACGGGCCCACTGCTGCGGCGACTGCTGCTGGGACGGCGGCTGCTGCTGGGGCGGCGGCTGCGGCTGGGGCTGCTCCTGCTGCGGCTGGGGCTGCTGCTCCTGCCCACCAGTGGTAGTCCCCGCAGGCGGACTACCGTCACCACCACCACCACCTGTGCCACCACCCCTACCTCCTTGGCGACCACGGCCACCGCGGCGCAAGCGCTGCTGCGGGTGGACCGCAGCAGCCGTCTCGGTAAGAGGGGTCGCCGTGGCGACCGCAGCCGAAACGTCAGTGAACGTGCACTGGGAGGGGGCACAACCGTGAAAGATAGAGACTGCCGGCGCACCGCTCGACTGAGCGATAGTGCGCTGGCGAGTCTCGATCTCGGTGAGGGTATCGACAAAGGCGGTGAGGGTGAGGTCACCCGGGTGCTGGCTAAGGAAGTGATCGCGAGCACTAGCGAGGCGGTCTGGCAGGCGCATGCCGATAAAATAGAGCGTCATGCAGAAAAGAAGGGGGGGAGCGCAGTGAGCTGGGCAGCAGTGCTGGCAGTGCGATAGCGGGTCTCTAGGGCACGCAGGTGAGTGGCAAAGTCTGCGACGGTAGGGAAGGCTGCAAGGTCTGGGAAAAGCATAGGGAAGAGCAGGCGGCCAGCAGAAGTAGACGCGGGTGTGGAATAGCGAGCAATAACGGCGTCTAAGTAAGCTTTGGTCGTCTCAATAGTAGCAAAGCGCGAGCGCTCAGACACAGGGAGGGCGTGGCTAATAGCAACCTGAGCGACTGCATCGCGAGAGTCCCAGACCACACGGGCAAGCGCAGCAGTAGAGAAGGTCTCACGGTCATCAGAGGAGGGGTCAGCAGGGAGGGGAGCAGGTGCGGGGGGGCGGGGGAGCAAGCCGTTGACATGGACAACCAAAGAGTGGCCATCCTGGCGCTGACCTGTAAGGTGGCGGCGGAGATCGGAGAGCCAGGCGGCGAAGTCAACCGCATGGCCCTCGGCGTCCAGTCGGAGCACGAAGTCAGCCATCGTGCAGGGTTAGCGGCACAGCTCCACAGGAACACAGCGACGCAGGGACACGGCGACAGCACTCTCCAGCACGGCGGCCGCGAGGCGCCTCAGCACTGGCGAGCAGAGTAGACGGAGCCCAAGGCGGCACGGCAGGACGAGCAGGCGCGAAGATGGGCCGGGCGGGCAGAGGGAGAGGCCAGGCAGACGCGGCGGGGCAAGGCAGGCGCGGCGGGGCCAGGCAGGCGCGGAGGGGCCAGGCAGGTGCGGCGGGGCCAGGCAGGCGCGGTGGGGCCAGGCAGGCACGGCGGGGCCAGGCAGGCGCGGCGGGGCCAGGCAGGCGCGGCAGGGCCAGGCAGGCGCGGCGGGGCCAGGCAGGCGCGGCGGGGCCAGGCAGGCGCGGCAGGGCCAGGCAGGCGCGGAGGGGCCAGGCAGGCGCGACGGGGCCAGACAGGCGCGGCGGGGCCAGGCAGGTGCGGCGGGGCCAGGGAGGCGCGGCGGGGCCAGGCAGGCGCGGCGGGGCCAGGCCGGCGCGGCGGGGCCAGGCAGGCGCGGCAGGGCCAGGCAGGCGCGGAGGGGCCAGGCAGGTACGACGGGGCCAGGCAGGCGCAGCAGGGCCAGGGAGGCGCTGCGGGGCCACGCAGGCGCGGCGGGGCCAGGCAGGTGCGGCGGGGCCAGGGAGGCGCGGCGGGGCCAGGCAGGCGCGGCGGGGCCAGGCCGGCGCGGCGGGGCCAGGCAGGCGCGGCAGGGCCAGGCAGGCGCGGAGGGGCCAGGCAGGCGCGACGGGGCCAGGCAGGGCGCGACGGGGCCGAGCGGGCGCGACGGGGCCAAGCAGGGCGCGACGGGGCCCAGGAGGGGCGCGACGGGGCTAGGAGGCGCGACGGGGCCCAGGAGGGGCGCTAGGAGGCGCGACGGGGCCCAGGAGGGGCGCTACGGGGCTAGGAGGCGCGACGGGGCTAGGAGGCACAACGGGGCCCAGGAGGGGCGCGACGGGGCCCAGAAGGGGCGCGACGGGGCTAGGGGGGCGCGACGGGGCCCAGGAGGGGCGCGACGGGGCTAGGGGGCGCGACGGGGCCCAGGAGGGGCGCGACAGGGCCTAGGAGGGGCGCGACTGGGCTAGGAGGCGCGACGGGGCCCAGGAGGGGCGCGACGGGGCTAGGATGCGCGACGGGGCTAGGAGGCGCGACGGGGCCCCAGGGGGGGGGGGGGGGGGGGGGGGAGGGGGGGCGGCGGGGCCTTGCTAGGGTACGGGCGGAAGCGGTAGGTGGGGGATTCTAACCTACGCGTGATACCATGTTAAAGTGAGAATCGAATGATAGACTGGAAGTGGAAACCTAGAACAAATATTAGTTGGTTGTAGTCACTAGAAGCATACCTCAGTCTAGCCTATAACTTCTACATAGCTAATATGTATAAGTTGACATGTTTAGCCGAAGTACCACGCCCTTACACATATCAAGGTCGATCCCGAATGCGACGCTGGAAAAAACAGGCCTCACTACACTAGGCACGCTAATCGATCAGGGTTCACTTCTAAAAAAAAGCTGAAATTTCAGGCCCGTGTTAAAAAAAAACCGTCTAAAAAACACCCTGATTTTACCCTGAATCAGGGTAAAAAGCCTGTAATCTGAGGCCCTCCCAGCCTGCTACAGATCTTTCTGCATGGGCTTCTCCAAGAGACAGTGGAGAATGACGGTGCCAGCAGGCTTGCCAATCATGGCTATGGGGGGTGTTGAGGCTCCCGCAGGTGGCAATATGCACATCTCTCACATGATCAACTCAGGAGGAGTATCCCGGTCTGCTACAGGTCTTTCCGCATGGGCTTCTCCAAGAGACAATGCAGAATGACAGTCCCGGCAGGCTTGCCAATCATGGCCTTTGGGGGAGTGAGGCTCCAGTGCAAGTGACGGTACTTGAGCAGGTCTAGCACTGACAGATAGGTCGGCATCTCTGCTGCAGAGGCGGTGAATTCCTCCAACCACATCACTCCACCTGGCAAGAAAGGTGAAAAAACGGAAAGGAAGAAGTCAAAAAGGAGAAGAGTGAGGGTTCTGTGCAGGTGGCGGTACTTGGTTGAGCAGATCCAGCACTGTCAGATAGGCCGGAGATTCAATGGCTGATGCAGTGATTTCCCCAGCCACATCACTCACCCCTGGTAAAGAAGGATGTAAGAATATACCAACGGGAGGTTGAAAGACAAAAACATGGGGAGTCAGGGCCAAAATACAGCTCTCATAGCACCAAGGCAAAACTGACGGACTCTTAGCACATCAGATTGCGGCGTCATGCACTGGATGGCCCTGGATGGCACTGGATGGCACTGGATGGCGTTGGTGAAATGTGGAGCTCCTCAAGTCATGCGTTGTTATGTGTTCAACTCGACGAATATCAGCATGCGGTCCGACTCAAATAAACTTCATCGGTTCAGCTGGTAATGGCAGGAACTTGAGGGCAACCATGGCATTCATAGGCCTTACATGCATGCGTCCCACGCAAACTCACCAACCCTCAACACGCGGTCCCATTCGAATAAAACCTCCTCGAATTCAGCTGGCGATGGCATGAATTTGATGGCGTTGGTGGCGTGGAGGATGTCTAAGGTGTTGTCGTAGAATGGCAGGCGGACCTGATGGGAGGAATGAGGTGAAAGGAGTGGGGGGGGGGATATGGGCGCAAGAGAAATGAGCGTGATTGCGCTGGTGCCATGTAGGATGTCCAGGGTGTTGCCATAGAGGGGCAAGCTGATCTGATGTGGAGAAGTGTTGAGGGTAAAGACGAAGGGATGGAGGAGATAGTCTGTTGACATCAACCAATGCGACAGAGATGGTCTATTGACATCTCACTTTATACTGCAGCCACAGGGGCACAAGCCCCCTCAGAGCAAAAGTCTATAGGAACTGCAGCCCCTTCTTGCATCCCACATTGGCCTCCAGATTCACCTCTCTCACACACCTTGTGAAGGAGCCACAGCAGCAACACCCACCCACCTTATACGGCAGCCACAGGGGCACAAGTCCCCTCAGGGCAATTGTCTCAAGAAAAGGTAGACCCTTCTTTCGCCCCACATTCGCCTCAAGGTTCATTGCTGACGTCATCACGGTCACGTTGTGCCGTGCCATGTGCGCTGCAAAGCTGCCTGATCCTCCATTGAAGTCAATACCGATTCTGGAAGAAAAACGAGGGGGGAAAGGGAGGGGGGCGGGGGGGGGGGGTGGGGGTTGGGAGGAGGATAGTTGAAGGGGCTAGTCACGATGCGCTGCGCAGCGCCGCGCCGCGCCATGTGCGCTGCAAATGTGCCCGATCCTTTATTATAGTCAATACCGACCCTGAGAAGGGAGGGAGGGATAATGGGGCAGGGGGCAGGAGGGAAAAGAGAGCAGATGGGGATGGGCTGCGGTGGTAACATTGTGCCGCATCATGTGCGCTGCGAATGTGCCTGATCCCCCATTGACGTCCGGACCAATAACGAGACGGGCACAGGAGAATAGGATCACAGGAGTGAGTAGGTCTATGAGGGTTCCATTGTGCCGCGCCATGTGCGCTGCGAATGTGCCTGAACCCCCGGTGCAGTCAATACCCATTCTGCAAGCAAGGGGAGGAAGGAGGAAGGTGTATTTTGAGTCGACTCAAAATACACCTGGACAAGCAATGGGAGGAAGGAGGATGGGTGGGGAGAGGAAAGGAATCAGAAACGGTTGGGTACACGGGACACGGGGAGAGGGGGGGTCACAATGGTGTTGCTCCATCTATGCTGTTAAGGTGCCTGAACCTTCAAAAAAAGGGAAACACCAGAGACCTAAGGGTCAAGGTGGTCGCTATGCCATGCAGTGTGCACTGTGCATATCATCCCAAACTCAAATCAGTGCTCCCTTCTTGGGCGGCTTAGCCATCCAGTCTACCTCCTCTCCTCTGCACTCATGTTCCAACAGCCCACTACTCTCCCGTCATCTATTAATTTCTCAAAAATTGGTGCGCAACTCACTTTCCCCTCATCTTGGCTTCAGCTCACCTCAGCGCCTCAGAGCCCCTTTCTTCATTGCAATCACTTCTTTGATAGTCACCGCTCCTCCTACGGGTGTTCTTGGGCGGCTTAGCCATCCACCTCCTCTCCTCCTAAGTTGGCACTTTACGTTTACGCAGGTTTACGTTTACGCTAATTTACGTAGTAAAGTTACGTTTACGTACGTGGGCCTGAAAAGGCTTTACGTTTACGGTCTGCTGGAAAAATTCCAACCTGCCCGAAAAAAAAAAAGAGGGGAGTAAGAGTTCGTCATTCCAGCGCTGTCAAACAGTACAGAAGCGGCCACATTCATCCAATTTTTGTGGCTTTCCCGCGTTTTCGTGGGTGCGTTGCGGGGGGGGGGGGTGGGGTTACCATTTCGAAGCTGTTGACGAAAATCTTGAAATTCTGTCGCACAATGGTGCGTTGTCAACGGTGTAGCTCGCGCGCGAAACAAAGCCGACAAAGTGTACCTGGCGACCATGTCGCATGCCCCAACCTCAGGCTTCGCCAAACTTGGTGGAATTCCCACCAATTTTTCCATCCAGCCGTTCTTTGCTGGTGTCCTAGATCCAACACGTCGTATGTCACCACGTGTCTCACAAATGTTGGTTGCAATAGGCAAAATATCCAACTCGTTTTGTTTCGTTTCGTTTCGTTTCGTTTCGTGTGCGACGATGTTCCGACTTGTTGGGAAGAAGTTTCGCTACGCACCCCTTGCAGTTTTCCATGAACGGCAGCAAGCATCCCCTCCCTAACTACCAACAGATCTCCCCGTCATCTGAAACCTAGCACGGCTAAGCCATTCTAAAGCCTTGTATACCGTTCCGTTCCGCCTTTCCCCAATTAGTCGCACGACTAAGTATCTCGCCCTAAGCCATCCTATAGAGCCTATCGTGTCCACGCTTCCAGACGTCACGCTACCTTTGTTCCGCAAATACACCATCCCTAACGCGGGATGCGTAACGTCCAAAACGCGAAATGTTTTTTTCCACGAATTTTTTTAACCCCTGCCCGGACGACTTTACGTAAACTTACGCGTAAACCAGCGTAAACGTAAACGTAAACGTAACTGTACGTTTACGCGACCTGTAGGGGCGTAAAGTGCCAACTTAGCTCTCCTCTGCGCTCATATCTTACTACCCACTAATCTCCCCTGAACGCACTCTACATCAGCTCACCTCAGCGCCCCCTTCTTGATTGCAATCACTTCCTTAATAGTCAGCGACCCTCCAGCGGCCGTGTTCTTGGGCGGCTTAGCCATCCACCTCCTCTCCTCCGCGCTCATGTTCCAACAGCCCCCGCCGCCCGGCTGCCGCCCGCATGCGTCCCCCGTGCCGGCCGTGGCAGCGGACAGGGCGGAGGGGGAGAGGGCGTTGAGGCATGCGAAGGAGGTGCAGGCGTGGTTGTTCCACCGGACTGAAGAGTCTTGGAGTGCGGATTGAGAGAAGAGGGACGCCGGTCTTGAGAGGGGCTGTTGAAGGTGGGTATAAGACAGGGAAGGAAAGAAGGGGACGAGTGACCAGTGAGGCAGGCAAAGGTCGTGCAGGCGTGGTTGTTCCACTGGACCGACGCGTCCTGCAGTGCTGACTGTGAAGAGAGGGATGCTGACCTTGAGAGGGGCTGCAGGAGGGGTGGGGAGGGAAGGAAGAAACAAAGGGACGAGACGAGTGACTCGAGAGGCAGGCAAAGGCGGTGCAGGCATGGTTGCTCCAACAGACAGAAGGGTCTTGCAGGGCAGACTGGGAGAAGAGGGACGCGCCTCTTGATAGGGGCTGCAGAATAGGAGGGTGGCAAGGCAAGCTATACAGGAACCGTGAAAGAAGGAGAGAGATTTCAGAAGCTGGGAAAGTTACCTGGGAAGGCTGGAAAAGAAGAGTCTATTCTTGAGGTGCCTCAAAAATAGACTTCTTACCTGGGAAAGCTGGAAAAGGTATCAACTATCAGGCAATCTGTGGGCGGCAACTGTCCCCCCACCAATACGGTGCATGATGACACCTGCCCCAGTCGTCATGGGGCCTTTATTTCCTGAGCCCCCCCAGCCTCTTATATCCCACCCACCTCCACAACCTTGTGTGCATTGCATGCATTGTGTGCACTGTGTGCATTGTGTGCATTGCATGCATTGTGTGCACTGTGTGCATTGTGTGCATTGCATGCATTGTGTGCATTGTGGCAGCGCCTCTTATGCAGGGCACTGGAACAGGTGGTAAAATAAGGTGTTGAACAAAGCACCAATCGCCCGGACACATGCCCCTCTCCTTGTCCCCAACATTTCCCTCCAGCCTTCCCCACCCATACATCCATCCACTCACCTCCACCACTTTGTGTGCAAAGGATGAGGTCCCTTTTTATTCTCAAAACGATGAGGTCCTGACCAGGCAGCCATTTGTTTGGCCAGACGCATGCCCCTCTCTTTCCCCTTCCTGCAAAGGACGAGGTCCTGACCTATTTTTAATTCCAAGAGTTTTTCTACAAGCACTCTACGATTTACACAGGTGTCATCACACAAGTTGCTGCCACGTATTGACACAATGGCACCTATTTGGTGTTCAATTGGACTCAGGCCTGATACTACTACGATGGCCAACTACCAATTCAATGCTACCAATGCAACCGACACTGACACCAACACCAATATCACCAAGTCTAACCAGTTCCGTCGATCCGCACGAATCTCGAGGATTCAAAGCCCGAGGCGTCTTCGTAAGGATAAAGAGCTGGTGGAATTCGAAGATTTACCAGAGTCCCCAATTTCTCGCTCCAACAAGAGAGCTCGGGATTTTTCTCTCGAACCTCTTCCAGTGACAGTCGACGCTCCTGCAGTTCGATCTTCTCCTGAGCCTGCCACCAGGCCTGCGATTGAACCTGCGATCATGGCTGCGCCGATGCAAGATCCTGTTCGCGAGATTCATGACGTTGTCATGACTGACTCCTTCGATTTTCTTGGTGATCTTCATAACGATTTTCTTGACAAGCAGGCGACTCCCTCTTGTCTCAATGGCTTTAAAAATCAAGCCGCTAAGGACTTTAAGAAGAGTTTTTTGAAGTACCAGACTTTGCACCAGCAGTATATCTTCATGACTGAGCAGAAGACCAACGGGATTATTCCTCACAGCATCAGGATCAAACCTTTTGGTTTTATTTGCAACTCTGAAGAACTCCGTCAGGAGGCCGACAAGGACCTGGTCGCGGCCTGTGATACGTACTGCAAAGCAGCCCAAGACATTCTTATTTCCATGAAGAAGAAAGCTGCCGATGAAGCTCGTAACGAAGCAGTCGCCGTTTTTCAGCGCCTGCAGGATCAGATTACGAGCTACATTAATCTGGCTAAGAAGACCGACATCGGCACCAAAAATTCAAAGCTGACGAAGCACCTGAACTATTTCAAGGATCGGGTGATCGCTGAATTTAAGGAATCGATGTCTGTTTTTGTCATGGATGCTAACCTCTCCGAAGTGCATCTTAAGGAGAAGAAGAAAGAAGTCGACGAAAAGAAGGCTGCCGCGACGGAGGAAGCAGAGAATCTCCCCGTCGACGAATCTGTTCGGAAGATCGCTAAGCAAGAAGTCGAAAAGGCTTTGTCTAAACGGTCTGACGGCAAGCAGAAGAAGCAGTATGGTAAACGCGGAAAGAAGAATCAGGGGGGTTTTAATGTCAACCGCAGCGCTGCCGCTAAGAAGAAGAACCAGTCCCGCAAGGGAAAAGGCAGCAGCAACGGCAACAGCAAAGGGAATAAGAAGAAAAATAATTCTGGTCCTGGGAAGAAGCACGCTGACAACGCGACGACGCATGCGACCCAGACTATGGGACGCTCCTTCGCGAAGACAGCGGGACTCAACGCCTCTCGTCAGCAGCCGCACAATTCTGCACCGGGAAAAAACGGGGGAGGTTCCGGCCGCGGAAAAACGAAGCAGCAGTAGTGGACGATGTCCACGCGTACGCGCTGATCCTCTTCGGGAGGAAGACCGAGAGTCAGCTGCGCTGCAGAGTTACCAACCGTGGCTTCCATAACTTCAGTGACCATGTCTTCACCCGCGATGAGTTACAACTGCTTAGCTTAGGACTTAAGTTCATACCAAACCCACCCATCCGCACCATTTCTAGTTTAGATACCGAGCTGCAGGCTTTCATGAACAGTGTTCGTACGATGTATCTTTTTGGAGGAGCTGATATCGTTTCTGAGTATCCAGGTTATAAACTTCCCAGGCGAGTTAACTGGATCCCACCTCCGGCTTCTTCCGAGATCGAGACGGCCCTAGCGGTCTTCAGAGACTCGGTCGTCAGAAGCGTTGCTGATCAGACTTTTCGCTCCAGAATCCGAAAAAGCGTCTTCCCTACACTCCGACGGCTTACCTCCAATCCAAATCTTATTTTCAAACCTGCAGATAAAAATCTCGGCTTGACAGTGATGAGTAAAGACTTCTATCAAGAGAAATGTCTACAGCATCTTTTGAATCAGAAAGTCTACAGAGAATACTCTACCGTGCCCGTCGACGATATCATGCAGGAACTCCGCTCAATTCACGAGGATTTTTACCCTCTACTTTCTAAGAAGATATGGACTTCTTTCTATAAAGCTCCTAAGAACGGATGGAAGATTCGGCGTTCTATGTCCTTTTGAAGATCCATAAGAAAATCCCAGCTGGTCGTCCTATCGCGGCCTGTCATTCCTGGGTGACGTCGAATGTCTCTCGCTGGCTGGACGCAGAACTTCGACCTTTGGTACTACAGCAGTCCACTTATGTCAAAGACTCACAAAGTCTGGTACTACAGCTTGAGCAACGGCGCTTTTTTAACAATCTTCTTCTCGCATCCTACGACGTGGAATCTTTATACCCGTCGATTCCCCTGCTCGATGGGATTGATGCAGTTTCCTATTTTCTTCAAAGGGCTAGACATCCACTAGCTCCACTGATTATTCGCCTGCTGAAGTGGGTGATGTTTAACAGCTATGTTTCTTTCAACGGCAGATTCTTCCGCCAAATCCACGGAACCGCTATGGGGACTTCAGTCGCAGTTTGCTTCTCGGTCCTATTCATGAGTTTCTTGGATATTCAGCTGCGCCGTTTGATCCCTTCATCCCCTGCTCTACACCTCCGTTTCATCGATGACAGTCTGATTCCGTGGGATGGGTCTAAGGAAGATTTTCACCGGCTAAAAGCGCGTTTCGACACGCTTCATCCTTCAATTCGCCTGACATGGGTGTTGTCTGAAACATCGATGGATTTCTTGGACGTTACTTTCTTCAAAGGAGAACGTTTCACAAACTCCGGGTTTTTGGACGTCAAGCTGTTTCAGAAGCCGATGAATCGGTATCTGTACTTACCCTTCAAGTCTTATCATTCCCGGACTACCAAACTTGGTTTCATCCGGAGCGAACTGCACAGATTCCTTCTGCGTTCTTCATCACGGGCTGACTTCCTGCATTCTAGGGCCCTTTTCTTCGCTCGGCTAAGAGCCAGAGGGTACCCTGAGAAATTTCTGCTACCAATCTTCAAGTCAGTCTCCTTTGCCTCTCGCAACGAACTTCTCGCTCGCTCCACTTCAATTCGCGACTCTCTTAAACGTGGGCCCCTCGTGTTGAAATGTTTGTTCAACCCTCTAGTTGACCGTTCACACTTGGGGAAACTTTTGAGTCGACTCAAAAGTCACCTCGTTACTTTGGTCACACGACACTTTCGCTTTTAGGAGAGCTATTATCGCGTGGAGGCTGCCGAAGAGAATCGGAAGCTTTTTAGTTTCTGCTCATAAGTGCTAATCTACAGTAGAGTTTTACTGTTTGTGCTTATTTCGTTTTTTGCTGCGTCCCCATTTTCCCCGCGACGGTTTTCCCGCGCGAGGCGAATCTTGGGCGACATCTTTTGGCGTATAAGTAGTGCTTGTTTTTCTTTAGGACTCTGTGGTCTGAAGAAGGCTTCAAGCCGAAACTTGTTACCACCTATTTTTAATTCCAAGAGTTTTTCTACAAGCACTCTACGATTTACACAGGTGTCATCACACACGTTGCTGCCACGTATTGACACAATGGCACCTATTTGGTGTTCAATTTGACCAAGCAGACACTCGTCCGGCCAAACTCATGCCCCTCTCTTTCCCCTTGACCTGTATCGTATTTGTAGACCCACCCACCTCCACTTCTCGGTGTGCCATGCGCGTTAGGCAGCGCCTCTTGGGCAGAGATTGGCACTGCTTGCGGAAGATAATATGTTGAACAGCAGCCGATTGCCTAGACACATGGCCCTCACCCACCCATATAACCAGGTGATTTTTTAGTCGACTCAAATATCTCTCACCCACCCATATAACCACCCACCTCCACCACTTGGTGGGCCGTGCGTGTGAAGCTCTCGGGTAGAAAATGGCACTGCTTGCGAAACATAAGGTCCTGAACGAATAACGAGTCATCGTGACACATGCCCCTCCCTTTTTTCCCAACCTTTCCCCTAGCCTCTCCCACTCAGCCTCTTCTCACCTACACTACTTTGTGAGCAGTGCGCGTTAGGCAACGGCATTTCGGCAGAGAGTGGCACTCCTTGCGGAAGATCAGGTCCTGAACGAACAGCCAGTCGTCCGGCCAGACACATGCCCCTCCCTCTATCCTAGGCTTCTGTCTGTATCCCCCCACCTCCACCCACGTCCACCCACCTCCACCACTTTGTGAGCAGTCCGCGTTAGGCAACGGCGTTTAGGCAATGAATGGCACTCCTTGCGGAAGATAAGGTCCTGAACGAACAGCCAGTCGTCCGGACACATGCCCCTCGTTTCGTAGTCCATGTAGCGTTCTAGCTCACGCTCGGTAGCAGAACAGGAGTAGCCCTGTAACGGGGATGAGAGGATGAAACAGAGGGAAAGAGATGAGCCAGTAGTCCGGACACATGGCCCTACCCACCCCACCCCACCCCCCCCACTCTCACCCCCACTCACACACTCACACACACCCCAACTCTCAACCCCCCACTCACACCCCCACTCACACACCCCCCAACAGCTCTGCATACAATACAAGTGCACGCACCTTCCAGTTGGGGCGCTTCTTGGTGATCACTGGGCCTGTCTGCGGCTTGCAGCTCTGCAGCAGCTTCACTGCGCTGCTGAGAGCCTGGGAACGGGGGGGGGGGGAAGATGGAAGGAGAGGTGGCGAGGGAGGGGGGGCATGAGGGGAGGGGGGGCATGAGGGGAGGGGGGGCATGAGGGGAGGGGAGGCATGAGGGGAGGGGAGGCATGAGGGGAGGGGAGGCATGAGGGGAGGGGGGGCATGGAGGGAGGGTGGCCGGGGGGGTCGTAAGGGGGGACACAGGGGAGAGGGTAAGGAAGGGCATGCTAAGGGCGTGGCTTGCAGCTTTGCCGGAGCTTCACTGCACTGCTGAGAGCCTGGGAGGGGCAGGGGGGAGGAGGGACGGAGGAGCATCATATGGGGAATATAGAGGAGAGGGAAAGGAAGATAAAGCAAAGGGCGTGGCTTGCAGCTCTGCAGGAGCTTCACTGCACTGCTGAGGGCCAGGGAGGGGCAGGGGGGGAGGAGGGACGGAGGAGCGTTGTAGGGGGAATAATATAGAGGCGAGGGTAAGGAAGGATATGCTAAGGGTGTGGTGCTTGCAGCTCTGCAGGAGTCTCACTGCACTGCTGAAGGCCTGGGAACGGCAGGGTGGGGGGTCGTAAGGGGGTGACCATAGGGAGGGCATGCTAAGAGTAGCTCTGCAGGGGCTTCACTGCACTGCTGAGGGCCTGGGAAGGGGGGGGACATGGGGGAGCAGGGGGAAAGGGGGGAAGGGGGGGAGGGGGGGTCGTAAGGGGGAGACTTTTGAGTCGACTCAAAAGTCACCAGGGGGGAAGGGGGGGAGGGGGGGGAGGGGGGGTCGTAAGGGGGAACACAGGAGAGAGGGCAAGGAAGGGCATGCTAAGGATGTGGCTCGTAGCTCTGCAGGAGGTTCATTACGCTGCTAAGGGCCTGAAAAAGGGCATGGGAGAGAGGGCGGACGGGGGCCAAACGTAGGGGGAACATACAGGGGAGGGTACGGAAGGGCACGGTAAGGGCGTCGGGCTTGCAGCTCTGCAACAGCTTCACTGCATTGCTGAGGGCCTGGGAAGGGGGGGGAGAGGGAGGGGGAGAGGGTGGGGGAGAGGGTGTGGGGAAGAGGGTGTGGGGGAGAGGGTGTGGGGGAGAGGGTGTGGGGGAGAGGGTGTGGGGGAGAGGGTGTGGGAGAGAGGGTGTGGGGGAGAGGGCGTGGGGGAGAGGGTGTGGGGGAGAGGGTGTGGGGGAGAGGGTGTGGGGGAGCGGGTGTGGGGGAGAGGGTGTGGGGGAGAGGATGTGGGAGAGAGGGTGTGGGAGAGAGGGTGTGGGAGAGAGGGTGTGGGAGAGAGGGTGTGGAAGAGAGGGTGTGGGAGAGAGGGTGTGAGAGAGAGGGTGTGGGAGAGAGGGTGTGGGAGAGAGGGTGTGGGAGAGAGGGTGTGGGGGAGAGGGTGTGGGGGAGAGGGTGTGGGGGAGCCATAAGGAAGAACGGTGAAGGGGAGTGAGTGGTAGGCGGTAGATGCTGCTTGCAGCTTCCCAGCAGCTTCCCAGCAGCTTCCCAGGAGCTTCACAGCACAGTGAAAGCGAAAGAGGGATGAAACTGATAGAGTCTACCACTGCAAGGAATGAAACGACTTTTGAGGCGCCTCAAAAGTCGTCTCCTTATCCGCTGATTGAGTCTACCACTGCAAGGAATGAAACGGAATGCAGCTGATACAAGCGGAACACTCAAGCCTCACATCCAATCCAACAGTACCTGTGAGTGGCACAAGCACATGCATATGTCCGTGTGGACGTTGCAAACAGGGAGAGCGTAGGGGGCAACACACACATATACAAGTGGTAGACGCCCCACACATACACACACCTCCTTGGTGATCGCCTTCTTCCCCCAGTCCGCGCCAGACTCTGTGAGCTTCACATCCAGCAGAATCTTGTCCGCAGTAACCTTCTCATGGCGCTTCTGGTGGGGGGAGGGACAGAGGAGAGAGAGAGAGGGGGGGATAAGGGCAGAGAGTAAGAAGGGGGTGGGAATGAGTGGGAGACTCAGTGCGCTTCACATGCAGAAGTATCATGTCTGCAGTCATTTCTCATGGCGCTTCAGTTGGGGAGGGGTGGGCAGCTGAAACCGGGTGAGAAGCAGAGAGAGGGTAAGAAGGGAGGGAGGCGGACTTGGTGCGCTTCACATCCAGCAGAATCTTGTCTGCAGTCACCTTCTCATGGCGCTTCTGGTGGGGGGGGGGGGGGAAAGACAAGCAGAAAGGCGGACAGCGGAAAGAGGGAAGGCAGGAGTGAGAAGGTTGAAGCATGGGCAGAGAGGGCGAGATTCACATCCACACAAGGGAACTATCTATGAGGCGCTACCTTGTCCGCAGCACTACCTATGAGGCTCTACCTTGTCCGCAGCACTTCCTCACAAATAGTGCTGCAAGCACCCACCCACCAAGGGAACTGGCCTCACACCGTACTGCGCACACTCACCTGCACTGCAGAGCCTCATACTCCGCCGTGAGTATTTTCAGCTCGCCTTGTCTCTCCTCTCCACCAGCTGGCGCTGCAGCTCTATCCATCAACTCATCTGCCTGATCACTAATCAGGCAACGACAATCCCCACACGCACCTGCAACGCCTCGTATTCCGCTTTAAGTCTCTTCAGCTCTCCCTGCCGCTCCACCAGTGGCCCCTGCAGCTCCATCACCTCATCCGCCTCTGTGTGCCTCCCACCTGTCCCCTCGCTCCCCTGCTGCTCCATCCAATCACATCCCTCTGTTCACCACACCCCACCCATACTGACCTGTAGGGCCTCGTATTCTGCCTTTAACCTCTTCAGCTCGCCCTGCCTCTCCACCAGTCGGCTCTGCAGCTCCATCACCTCATCCGCCTCCGTGCGTCTCCCACCCGGCCCCCCTTTTCCGCGCCCCCCTCTTCCTCCCCGCCCTTCCCCCTGCTGCCCCTCTTTATCATCCAGCTTGCCTGCTTCAAACTCTGCAAGGGGTAGAAGAGCAGAGGGATGGATGGAAAGGTAAGGGAGAAATATCCTCGCTCCCCCCCTCTTCCCCGGTGCTGCCCCTCGCTGCCTTGATCAGCCAGCTTGCCTGCTTCAAACTCTGCAAGGGGTGCGGAGGGGTGGACGTGGATGGGAGGAGGAGGCAGGTAGGTACTGTGTGTAGCCAATACTCTCTCTTCGCCTGCTCGCTCTCGCCGTCTCTATCATCTACCTTGCATGCTTCATACTGAGTAAGACACAGAGGGGTGGACGGAGGGTGGAGGCAGTTACTGTGCTGTGGGCGGTGTGGCCATTACTCTTCCCCCGCTTGCTCCCCCTCGCCGTCTCTATCGTATCGTCTACCTTGCATGCTTCATTAACACACTAAGCATCCGTCCAATCGCCAATCATGCGTCAAGAGGGGAATTGTTTTTCCAAGTAAACATCCCGAACGCGCTGCATTCCTTTGATTCGCCCTGTGCACGCCTCGTCACCGTACTGCATACCTGTGAACCATTCTTGGAGCTCCTTCAACTGCTCCGCACACTGGGCACACGTCCCACGTGCGCCCCCCTCAGCAGCCTTAAGCGATCTGTGCAAACGGGTTTTGTTGGGCACGGAAGGAAGGGAGAGGGAAAGGAAGGGATGTTTGAGAGACGAAAGTGGGCGAGGGAAGGGGTGGAATGGAGGGGTGAGTGTGAAGCTCAAATAGTTGCCTCAAACAATGATTGATTTGGATCGAAACTTGTGAGTACGTTCTTATGGCGTATCAAACTTCATGCAGCCCGCTTGACATGAGGAGGAATTGACAGGCTTTGGCCAGAATGTATGGCTCGTTTCAGGCCTCCCTAAAGTCGTTGACACGAGGTGCTGACAACGCTGACAAGAAGCGCTGACACGAAGTGCAGACGGAAACTGCATAGGATAGCACCTTTTGGTCGTGAACTCTTGTAATAACGAGTCACTACTGCTGGCTCTTGGTCTTTGGTCGAACTTCGATGTGAGAAGAAGATGAAAGGCTTATATCGGGGTCCAGAATGAGTTGCCTTACCTTTTGGTCGGAGACTCCTGCAGCAATGAGCCACTGCTGCTGGCTCTTGGTCTTTGGTCGAACCCCATAGCAGAGGAGGAAGAAGCTGAAAGGCTTATATCGGGGACAAGAATGAGTGTTGAGTGCCCTTACCTCATCGTAGGAGAATCCTGCAGCAATGTGCCGCTGCTGCTGGCTCTTGGTCTCTGGTCGAACCCTAACGCAGGGGAGGAGGAAGCTAGAAGTCTTGTATCAAGGAGAAGAATGAGTGTTGAGTGCACTAACCTTCTCGTAGGCGACTCCTGCAATAGCGAGTCACTGCTGCTGGCTCTTGGTCTCTGGTTGAACCCTAAAGCAGAGGAGGAGGAGGCTGAAAGGCCAGCACCTGCTAACGCCTCGCCATGAAGCGAATGCGCCGCCGCTGCTGCTGCTGACGAGAAGCAAGTCGCGATGTTTACCACCTGAGCAATGGCTAACACGACTACCAGGGCTCGGGTGCACAATGAAGGCATCGCGGCTTTACAAAAAAGCAACGAATCAGAAATCCACTCTCGGACTGTCACGGGTCATCTGATGCAGCAAAAGCGGCGTGGTAACGAACTATGGGCGAAGTGATCGGTGGCACGTGGAATTTCGTGAGCGCTATAACTAGGATTTCGCGTATATTGGTGGCTGTAGCCAGGCTGTAGCCAGGGAGAAATGTGGCCAGCTAGTCCTGAAAGGGCCCGCAAGCACACCTGGCCTTGGTATTATCGACTGGAAACTAGAAACGATGCTCCTGAATGTGTCGCCAATAGCTTCGCTTACTGAATGTAACGGCGGGTTCGGCTTCGCAAGGCACCCTCCGGTTCGCCTATGTTCGCTTCGTAGGCGTAGCCTACGTGCCTCACCGCCTCTCGCTGGTAAAATACCGGAGTTCCTAGTTTAGTCGGATGTTTTAAGTCCTAACACGCGAGGTGGGTAGGCTTCAGGTCAAATTCCCTGAGGTGTTACCTGAATGCTCGGAGCGGATCTCCTTCCTCCTCGTTAACTTGTTATTTGGCAAATCTTTTAGATTGTACATCCTTTACTTGATGCGAGTTATCGTTTATCGCGAAAGTGCTCACCAGCTCCCCCAACATATCTGTTTCGTGATCCAACCTCCAGCCTAGGCCGTATTCCTGATTGCGTGTAGAAACACCACACGAACCGGAAACCTTGCTACGTTGACTCCGACACTCAATCCGACACACATCTCCCGAAGACCCCCTTCATGGATGAAACCAAGTAAAAAGAACGTGCCTCATATTTTGTTCAGCTGCTCCTCCCAGTCCATATTTGCTCAGCTGCCATAACCTCTAGGCTTCTAGGGTAAGCATTCTAACATTCTAGGGAAAGCATTCTAGGGTAGAGCTCGATTCCTGAGAGCTTTCTTCTTAGGATCCCTCGTTCTCGTCCCTCGCTACCTTTTCCCTCTTGCGAGCCGTCGATATGGCGACAGCCATTCTCCCTTGCGCGAGACCGCATTTCGACCAGAGCCACGCACGGCTAACGAGCGGCCGCATTGCGAAGCCGAGGAGAGATGCAAGTAAGTTACGTGTTTGCGCGTACCGGGGGAGAGCGTAGCACGTGTTAGCAAGTGAGCGCGTGAGAATTCTACAAAATCAGCTGCGTAGCGTAGCAAGTGGAAACTTTTGAGGCTTCAGCAACCATTTTCCGGCAGATTTTTTAAATTTCTGAAAAATCAGCTGCAAGTATTCTTACCTTTTCTCTCCTTCCGTTATTCTTCGCCTTCTCCTTTCCAGTCATTGTGTCGTCGTCGCTAGCTGCAGTACCCCCCTCCTTCGGCGCAGCTTCCGTTCCCGCTCGCCCGCTCTCCCTTCCTGCGTTCCTCCCCTCCATGGCCGTTACAACTCTCGGCTTCTTCGCTCGGTACGGTTACAACAGCTTCTAGGTACGGTTGTAACACGCGGCTTCTTTACTAGGTGCGCTAGGTCCCGTACGGGTGTCGTATCCCGTGTCATGTCCCGTGTCATCTCCCGTTCCACATCTCGTGGCATGTTACTGCTCCAGGTTGCTGGGAGGCGACTAGAAGGAAGAATCGGAAAGAGCTTCTCAGGGCAGAGGGGGCAGAGGAGGAGGATGGGTTGCTTGGTATTCCCCCCGGCATTCCCTGCGCCGCCTTCAGAGTTCGCTCCCATGTCGTGTCGACCCTGCAAGCTGCTGGGAGGCGACGAGAAGGAAGAAGCGGAAAGAGCGTCGCAGGGAAGAGGAGGACGAGATAGCGACGACGACTCTGACGACGACTCAGGGTGGCAGGAGGAGGATGAGGAGGAGGAGGGGGTGGAGGAGGGGGTGATTCGTTGATCCCCCCCTGTCGTTCGCAGTGACATCTCCCATTTCATGTCTCGTGTCAGTGTCATGTCCCCGTGTCATGTCAATCATGCAGGCTGCTGGGAGGCGACAAGAAGGAAGAAGCGGAAAGAGCGTCTCAAGGAAGAGGGGGTCGAGATAGCGACGACGACAGTGATGATGACGACTCAGGGGGGGAGGAGGAGGATGAGGAGGAGGAGGGGGTGTATGGGGAGGTGGTACTGGTCGAGTCTACAGGGGAGGACGGCATCATCAGCAAGATAGTGTTTTCAGCCGGGGGCGAGGTGGACGTGTATGCGTTGGAGAGACTTTGTGAGAAGGTGGGGTGGCCGAAACGCCCCCCTGAGAAGGTGGAGGCGGCGCTGCGTAACAGTTACTTGGTTACCGCACTGCATCTGGTTACCACTCCGCCGGGTGTGGCAGGTAGGTCCCAAGAAAGAGAGCAGCGCTTTCAGCGTTTTTTCGTGGTTTCAGCAGTGTTTTTTACAGCAAGGGAGGCGAGGTGGACGTGTATGCATCAGAGAGACTGTGTGAGAAGGTGGGGTGACCCAAGCGGCCTCCAGAGAAGGTGGAGGCAGCTCCGCATAACACTTACCTGGTTACCGCACTGCATCTGGTAACCACGCCTGCCGGTGCTGCAGGTGCGTTGCAACCTGCAAGGTTGCAGATGGTGTCTTGCAAAGCAGGGTGGACGAAGAACGCAGGGTGTGTGGGGGGAGAAGGAAGGGGGGGGAGGAAGAGGTGGACGTGTATGCATTGGAGACACTCTGTGAGATAGTGGGGTGGCCGAAACGCCCCCCTGAGAAGGTGGAAGCGGCGCTGCATAACACTTACCTAGTTACCACACGGAACCTGGTTACCTGGTTACCATTTCACCCAGTGCTGCAGGTCAGGTGCAGCAATTTACCCGGTTGACTGGTTCTGCCTCGTCTGGTTGGTTTTAAAGCAGAGGGTGAGTGAGCGGTGAGAGGGAGCTAATGGGAATGGTAGAGCCACTTCAAACCACACTTGCAATGCCACAGTCTACCTTCGCTCCTCTTTGCCTTTCTTCGCTGTGTCTCGCCGCTTTTCTCTCGTCCGCAGAGGGCGAGGGCGGCGGGTGCGAGCTGACTGGCATGGCTTGAGCAACGTCATACCACATGTTCAACGCAATGCCGCTGTGCGACCTTACCCCTCTCTGCCTCTCTTCCCGGTGTGACGTGTCCCTTCATTGCTCTCTCGTGCACAGAGGGAGAGGGCGGCGAGAGGGAGCTGATCGGCATGGCGCACGCCTCTCGAAACGAGCTTGTCATCCCTCTGTCCTCTCTCCTGCTTTTCTCTCTCCCACTTTCACTGTGCCATCTTTTGCCCATCAAGCAGAGGGGGAGGGTGGCGAGAGAGAGCTGATAGGCATGGCGCGTGCCACGTCAGACCACACGTTCAACGCCACCATCTGGGATGTGCTGGTGGATCCGAGATTCCAGGTAATGTAGTGCAGCACGTGCTGTGTGCTGTAATGCGGGTGTCGTAATGCGTGTGCACCCACAGCATGCTCTAATTCTCGTTCAGACCACACGTTCAATGCCACCATCTGGAACTTACTTGTGGACCCGAGATTCCACGTAATGTAGTACAGCACGTGCTGTAGGAAGTAATGCAGCTGAGATAGCACCCACATCATGCTCTCATTCACGTCAGACCACACGTTGAGTGCCACCGTCTGGTACGTGCTTGTGGACCCGAGATTCCAGGTGCAGTGTAGTATGTGCTGTAGTGGAGACTTCTCAAAACACAAACACCCCCCACAGGGCCACGGCTTGGGCAAGGCACTAGTGCAGCAGACACTTGATCGCTTTTTGCGGTGAGAGATCAACAACATCACCCCCTCTAAATGAGGCATCTCTGAACTCAGTCACCTCACCCCCCACAGGGCCAAGCCAAGGCTTCAGCAAGGCTCTAGTGGAGCAAATGGTTGGATCTTTTCTGCTGCGAGACATCGACAACTTCACTGGGTTTAGGGTGGCGAGAAATCAACATCGCCCTCCAAATGAGGCGTCTCAGAACTCAGTCACCTCATCCCCCACAGAGCCAAGGCCTGGGCAAGGCTCTAGCTGAGCAGACGGTTGACTACTTTTTTTGCAGCGAGAGATCAACAACACCACCCCCTCTAAATGAAGCATCTCAGAACTCAGTCACCTCAACCCCCACAGGGCCAAGGCCTGGTCAAGGCTCTAGTGGAGCAGTCAGTTCGACATCAACAGCAGCACCTCTCTTTAAAAGTGACATCCTAAATTTCAATCATCCCCCACAGGGCCAAGGCTTGGGCAAGGCTCTAGTGGAGCAGACAGTTCGGGCTCTCTTGCGGCGAGATATCGGCAACATCACCCTCTTTGCAGATTCACAAGGTAGTGCAATTCCTGTCTGAACATGTTGCAAGTATGTGTAGCAGCTCTGCATGCTACACTGCTGAATTTATATTGAATCTTTTGGAATTGGTCCTGGCAACAAGTTGTGCTCTCGTTTGAATCTGATTTCTTTTCTTTGAATCTCTCGTGTGTCATGGTCTCGTTTGCAGTTGTGGAGTTCTACAAGGGGATGGGCTTTGAGGCGGATCCAGAGGGAATCAAGGCCATGTTTTGGTATCCAAGATTCTAGAAGCTTTGCTTTGATTGAACACTAGATATTTGCATGTGAATGGTACTGCCATAATTGGATCTGCTTAACATCCTAATATAAATAGGTAGAAGCATGTAAGGAGAGATTTGTGCAATTCAGCTTTTAGTATGTTTGACTGGTACGTTTATTGGATACATAATCGATTTTTGTTCTTATTTGGAGTATCGCAGGTATGCTTGAAGGGGAGCAAATTCTCGTGGTCAGGAGGAGGGCAGTCCCGTTTCGGGCCGCCTTACAGCCGCAGACGTGATGGTCCAAACAGAACGAACTTCTAGAGCGGTAAAATATAATTTTGGTAGGTCGCAGGTAATTATGATCGTGGTACAGAGTGGTTACGGTACGAACTCTCGACAAATTTGTAGAAACTAACTTACACGCCACTTGCCTGGCTGGGCATGCCCAAACACGCATTCTGCGTCGGGGGCAGTCCTCATGAACAGTTGTAGTGTCCGCTCTCACCATTTGTCTGCCAACGCGGACAGGGAATGCTTGGTAAGGGGGGCTGCTGGGTTGAGGACCTGTTTCTCCTTATCGCTGTAAGGTTTGTTAAGGGATCAGGATCGAGTCTCAAACTTTTCATTACTTTCAGCAGGGGGGAGATGCAATTCGCGATGGTATTCTTATTCGGCATGTGCTCGCGAGCTCCGCACTTTCTCGACCTGACATGCATGTCACGGTTACGAAAGAGCGAAAAGAATGCGGCCTCACTGTGGATTTGACAGGCCCCATTAAATTTGAGGACCCATGATCTCCAGGATGAAGGGCCGAAGATGGACTTTCCACCGTACTGAAATCTGTCTTAATCTCTTTAACCCCACTGAAACGTGTGGTATAACGACCAGACCAGACCAGACCAGACAGGCCCAAGGGGGGCCCCTCCACATCACACGGGGCGCGCGGGACATTACCAAGAAAACAGCAGCGTGGTTTCTGGCAGCAAGGTGGATGGGTGGGACGAGGCAATGATCAAGAGGGCCATCCATGCCTCGAGTTTTGTTTGCTGCACAATGTTCCTTCGGAGTCTGGTCAGGAACAGGCATTGCATAAATTTTCAAAATCCTTGGAACACCCCCGGTGCGCTAGGGATTTGTTCCGTATAGATTCCCAGCAAAGTCGGCGTAGAGATTGTGCTTCCCATATGAGAAATCTAGTCGCGGATTCGCCTTTCCCCCCCCTACCAATCTATAAGCTTTGTCTAGGTGGAGTTTCACTGTCCTTGCTTTCAGGCCTCTATTTTTTTCCCTCCAAGTCAAACCCCGAACAAAACCACGCCTTCCATTCCCACCCGAGACCTTCCATTGTATCAGGCTAGGATGAAAGTTTTGCGAGAACAAAGAGCTTAATAAAATATGTACATCTCGAGATGGGTAAAGTGTCTGAGCTTCTCGAAATGGAAGGGTGGCACAAAACACAAGTTGGACTTTCAAGACCCAAGCTTGGGCAGGGGGTGAATGGCTCTTGGCCTGGGCATGAATCCACAGCAGCTACTGCCCGTCATCAGGGCTTATGCTATAAGAGTAGATACCCTAAATGTCGAGAAATTAAGAGTTTTTTCAAACCCCAAACCCGGATTTTAACAGGCTGGGATTTTCCGAAAATCTGAATATTTCCAACTGGATTCTCATGAAATCCTGATCCATTCCGTGCACTACTTTCATGAATCCTGACCAACTAGGCCTCGTAGCATGGAGCTCTGTGAGGAGACCTTCCATTCCACTGCGTGGTGGCGAAGATTCTCACATCACGAATCACATAAGGTACTTGGACGATTTCAGGACTTCAGCCAATCAGCCTAGTCATGTTCTCTGCACACATCAGGGGAGATGACTGGCACGACCTTTGGCAGGGCTGCTATGTCGAGAACTCGGAAGGATTCTGGGTGATATTTCCTTGGGATCCGGAAAATTCTGGGTACTTCTGGACCCCATCTCGGGACCCTCCGAAACTCCCTAGGGCCTAGCGTAAGCCCTGCCCGTGACAAAACAATTGCTGCTGTGGTCGCTTTACTGTTATGTAACCTCTAGTTGTGAGCTGTAATCATGGGGCGTTGGAACATCTAGGTAGGCTCTACGCCCTCTTGAGCTGTGACTGGGACCGGAACGGTCAGTTAAAACGCGGTACAGTGCGATTTTGTTTGTTTCAAAACAATTGTTGAGAGGTACAGAGGTAAACGACCGGAGGGTGGGAGCGGAGGGTCCTAAGGACGCTAGACTTTTTATCATAAATTGGAGTCGAGATAGGAGATCAGGTTTAGTCTATCAATCTAAATCGCAGTCATTCCCTGCACGTGTGCATCTGACGTCATTCATGTCCCTTCGAACATAATTACGTCGAAGGTTTTTTTTTTCCGGCGAACCTCGTTCGTCGCGTATGTTCGCCATTAACTCGTAGCAATCCGTGTCCCTGGTTTCGAAACCAGCGGAAATGGAAAGTGTCAGCTGCTTGGATCAGAGCGAGCCGCAGGTCCTGTTAGGGTTTCCATTGCAACGAAGACAGAATGAGATGCAAACAGCGCAATGGCGATTGCAACAGCAACAGGTTCAGCAGCAGCAACAACACCAGCAGCAGCAGCAGCAGCAGCAGCAGCAGCAGCAGCAGCAGCAGGAGCGACAGCATCGGGATTCGGGCCTAGCTGAGGCATCGAACCGGCACGAGGGATGGAAGGAGCTCCAGGAAAGGCTAAGGCGGGATCTTACTTGGAACGACGACTTGGAAACGCGAGACTTAGTAGCAGGTTCTTTCGCGCAGGACGTCGGGACGCAAGCCCCTATATTCGAGGCGTCTCAAGGCCTGACAATGCCACGGAGAGGGGAGGAGGGGACACGGGTCACGTTTTCCGAGTCGAGTCAATCGACAGAAGGCGGAGGAGAGGAAAAACACAAATCTTGGAGTCAAAAGGAGCAGAGACGGCAGCTGTCAGGGGGGAGGGGCGTGAAGGTAGGGATCCAGAGTCCTGCGAACCCTAGCAGTACAAGTAAGAGTGGAATTCCGGAGAACCAGGAGGAGGGGAGAGTAGAGGCAGACGGAGATGACGGAGATGACGGAGATTTGTACGCGACGGAAGACGTTTGGGAGGAGCTGCAAGGGAGCCCACGACGACCGCAGGATCATCAACGGTTACAAGAAAATCAACGGTCACGAGAGGCTCAACGGTCACAGGAGCGTCAACGGTCCCAGGATCATCGACGGTTACAAGAGCATCACTTTAGGGCGCGTTCCCTGTCGGAAACGGAGCAGTCTTCGTTGTGCAAGCCGAGCCGTTTCAGACAGCTAGCCGTCAAAGTTGACGGCTCCCCTGACGGTCCCTCCTCCCGCTCGCCGGTATACTCGCCAGGCCCAATCACCGCGCCGTCGTCGTTTGCCGGGGCGAAACCCTCGAGGCATTTGAATCTCTCCCGTGACTCGCTGTCGCCCAAAGATTCGCCTAGAGAACGGCTTAGTAACTCCTCGCCTGATATTCCGTCGCCTGGCACCCGTCGCAGGGCTGCGGCCGGTCGCATGGCGGCTTTCGCGCAGCAGACTGCAGAGGCGGCGACGCGTGCGACGGCGAGCTTGCGACGCGCGGGGACGACGACCGTGCGACGGCATTCCAGGCAGCACTCCTGGTCGCAGGCGAACCCGTTAGTAGCAGATCCGTTTGACGCCCAGTCCAGTATATCGTCCAACGCTAGCGAAAGCTTGAGCAGCATAGCGAGCAGCCAGGCCGACACTATCTATAGCAGCCGTTCTAGCAAAGAGTACCGGCACGTTCCTAGCCGTTCGATGGACGTCACGGGTATTTATGCCAGTATCGCTTCCTACGCTAGCGAGAGCATAAGCAGCGTCGCAAGCAGTCAGGCCGACACTACCCATAGGAGCCCTTCGTCTAAAGAGTACCGGCACGTTCCTAGCCGTTCGATGGACGTCACGGGTATTAATGCCGGTATCGCTTCCTACGCTAGTGAAAGCATGAGCTCTGCGGAGAGCAGAATGAATCAGGGCCAACACCAGGGCCAGTATCAGGGCCAGTTTAGTAGTCAGGGAAACGGCAGCCGTACTATTAGAGGCAGCCGTCAGGGGGCGAAGGAATTAAGTACATCCACGAAAGAGTATCGGCACGCTCCTAGCCGGTCTATGGACGTCAGCGGTATTTATGCTAGCTTGCTGGAGGAGGAACGTGCGCGGAAGCCCCCCGTGTCCCCCCGATCTCCGCGCGTCGACAGCTTCCGCCAGTCCCCGTCCGCCCAGCGAGGGGAGCGGGGCCGCTTCGCCCTCCCCTCCCCCAAAAGCTCCCCCAGAAGCCCCCGCAGCCCCGGCTTCCGCCCATCCGGCCCTTCCGCTGCTCCCCTCGCCCTTCCCGCGCGCTCCGCTCACCCCGCTGGTCCTTCCCCGCATTCCGCCCTCCCTGCTGGGGCGTCCGCGCATTCCCTCGTTCCCCCGGCTCCTTCCGCGCATTCCGCCGTAGATCAGCGCGTGAGCGTAGTAGGCGTAGATTCCCTCCCGTCCACGGATTCGGACGAGGATTTTTTGGACGCGCTTTGCAGGGCCGCGGCGATGCAGCGGCGCGGGTCGCCTCTCGGCCCCTCCGCCTCCGACCGTTTGGCGGCGGCAGATAGAGGGGAAGATTGCCGGCCAGATAGAGGGGTAGGTTGCCGGCCGGATGCATGGGTAGACTGCCGCCCATCCGTGGATTCGGACGACGATTTTCTGGAGGCGCTTTGCAATGCTGCCGCCGCTGCGGCGACGGCTACGCAGCAGCGTGGTTCGCCTCTCGGTCCCTCGCGCTCTACGGCAGCGACGCAGCAGGTGCAGCAGGTGCAGCAGCAGCAGCAGCAGCAGCAGCAGCAGCAGCAGATGCAGCAGCAGCAGGCACAGCAGGTGCAGCAGGTGCAGGCGCAGGAGACGCAGAGGGTGAGGCAGAGTCTCGACGTCTTGGCACGTCTGAAGGCGGACTCGCGCCCCTCAGTCGACTCTGACAACGACTTCATGGAGCAGATGCAGCAGCAGCAGCAGCAGCAGCAGCAGCAGCAGCAGCAGCAGCAGGCACAAGCGCAGGAGACCCAGCGGGTGCGGCAGAACCTCGACGTTCTGGCGCGCCTCAAGGCGGACTCGCGCGCCTCAGTCGACGGGCGCCCATCTGTCGACTCGGACGATGATTTCGTGGAGATTTTCGGGCAAGCCGTGTGGGAGAGGCAGGAGGAGGCCGTTGCGTTGACTAGGCTCAAAGAGGAGGCGGATAAACACCGGGCGGAGGCGGCAAGGGCGGCAGCGGAACTACAGCGGCTGTTAGAGGGTTCGCAGCAGCGGCGGCGGCTGTCCGCGATGCACCAGCGCTCGCTTTCCACAGTCAACGCGGTCAACGCGGTCAACTTTGAGCCTGAGCAGCCTCAGGAGGCGAATCAGTCTGTCGCGGGTTCGCAGCAGCAGCGTAGGCTCTCCGCGTTGCACCAGCGGTCGCTTTCCACTGTGAACGCAGGGGTTGCAAGGAATGCAGGCAATGCAGTCAACGCTGTGAATGTGGTGTCTGAGTCACTTCCACAGGGCGCAGCAGAGCCACAGTCGCAGCAGCAGCAGCGGCAGCAGGGGCTTTCAGTACTGCACCAGCGTTCACGCTCCACAGTCAACGCGGTCAACGCGGTCAACGCTGTGAATGAGGTGGCGCACCAGCGTTCACGCTCCACAGTCAACGCGGTCAACGCGGTCAACGCTGTGAATGAGGTGTCCCACCAGGTTTCCTTCTCTGCAGTGAATGCGCCCGCCTTTGCAGGCATGGTGTCTGCAAGTTCGGCAGGAATGGCTTCTGCAGGCTCGGGTACTGCAGGTTCGGCTACTGTGGGTCTGGCCTCTTCAGGTTCGGCAACCATAGTGTCATCCTCCACAGTTACCAGAGGGCGGACTTCAGCAGTGTCCTCCTCCTCCTCACCCTCCCTCTTCCACTCAATCTCTTCCACCAACAGCATCTCACCATCCCAATCGCATGCAAATTTCCCCTCACATGCTATCTCCCCATCCCAATCGCACGCAAACTCCCCATCACATGCCATCTCCCCATCCCAAGCCGTCGCCTCCCGCTCCCACTCGCTCTCCCCGTCGCAATCCATCGTATCCCCGCCGCAATCCATCGTATCCCCGTCGCAATCGCACGCAATTTCCCCCTCGCAATCCGTCGCCACCCGCTCCCACTCGCTCTCCCCGTCACAATCCGTTGCATCCGCTGCGTCATCCCCGCGCGGACGTGCATTTCCCCCTGCTGCCCCCTCTTCCCCACGCGGACGCGCATTTCCCCACGCTGCCCCCCCTTCTCCGCGCGGACGCGCGTTTCCCACTGCTGCCCCCCTTACCCCGCGCGCCAGCGCCCTGTCCCGCACTGCCCCCTCGTCCCCACGTGGAAATGCCTTCCGCCAGGCCCCGCCCACGTTTTCAGGCGCCCATCACTCCGCGTCTGATCCCAGGCGCGCTGTTGCTGACAGCTCAGCTCCATACGCGTTAGTAGACCACCCGCCTGCGCTAATAGAAGCGTCAGCCCTGTCATCCGCCAGGTTACTGTATCCTCGAGACCTTACGTTCACAGTGAGCCCTCAGGTGTCTCCTCAGGTGTCTCCTCAGGTGTCCCCTCAGGTGTCCACTCAGGTGTCCCCTCAGGTTTCTCGACAGGTGTCCCCCCAAGCATCCCTTCAGGTGTCCCCACAGGTGTCCCCTCAGGTGTCGCCTCCTAGAGTACCGCGCTCACAGTCCACAACACAAAGGCCGAGTTTCTTGCTGGAGTCTCAGATCCTCGATATAAGCTCAAACACGCTTTCTCTGACAAGGTTGGGGCGTGGATCTCCCTCCCAATCCCCTCCCCTCTCATGGCCGCTCTCCCTCCCCCCTCCCCATGCACGCTCCGTATCCGAACTACCTGCCATTCCCCTGCCCTTTTTCACCAACCAATCTCCCCCCGAACCTCAACACTCCTCCCCTCCCCCCGCCCCCCTTTGCGCCTCCCCTTCCTCTCCCCCCTCCTCTCCTTCCTCTCCTCCCTGCTCTCTTTCGTCTTCCTCCTCCCTCACCTTCCCTCAAGCCCTCTCGTTCTCCCAGTCACCCTCCACATTCGCTCATTCCGAACCTCTATCCCCACGCCATAACCCCTCTTCCTGCAATAGCTTATCGCCAACCGATAGCCTATCGCTAACCCACGATCCGCCTCCTCGTCCTCCTTCAAATGCCCAATCCGCTCGAACTTTCTCGCACTCTCACTCGCTCTCCTCCCCTCCCTCCCTAGCTAAGCTCAACGTGGCACCGGCTCATCACTCCACTCCTGCCTTCACTAGAAACCCTTTCCCCCAGCTCACACCCTCTCCACCCCCCCACTCCGCATCCGCCTTCTATTCGGATTCCCACCCACGGGCGCTAGTCCCATCCTATCACCCTACAGTGGTCACTTCTCCTCCCAAACCGTCCCCCACCGTTCTGTCTCCCCCCAAACCTTCTTCCAACCCACTTTATGTCCCACGCGCTCTCACACTGCGCAAGATGGGTCTACCCCAAGCTGAATCTCTCAGCCCAGGCGCGCTTAGCCACGCAGCACTTAGCCAAGCAGCACTTCGCCAAGTGTCGGCCTCAGTTTGCCTAGAGTCGGCCCGACTTAACCAAGAGGTTGCACCACTTAGACTAGAGGTAGCCTCGTCTAAGCAACACTTAGCTAAGCGTCAGTCCACACACTGTCGATCCCCGTCTCTCTCACCGCCATCTTTGCCTGCTGATCAACCCCAGGCCTCCTCTCATGACCCCCCCACACACACTCATTCACACACTCACTCACACACTCACCCAGACACTCACTCACACAATCACTCAGACACTCACTCACAGACGCTTTCACATGCTCAGTCACCCGAAAAGAGGAGGGGGAAGTTGACCAGGAAGAGCAAGAGTTATGGGTCCTCCCCCGTTGTCATCAGTAGCAGCAACACCGCCACTGCTGCCGCTGCCACCGTCACTGTTGCTGCTGCTGCCACCACCACTGTTGCTGTTGGTGCCACCACCACTGCCGCTGCTGTCACGGCTACCACCTCTGGCAGCAGCGAGGGCAGTAGCAGGCGTTCGGCCAGTGCTGTTGGTGCTAGTTGCAGTGGCAGCAGCAGCAGCAGCAGCAGCAGTGATGGCACCAGCAGCACGAGAAGCAGCGGCAGTACAATGACAATTGGCGACAGCAATGCCAAGGGTGACACTGGCAACTGTGATATCACTGGTAACACTGGTAACAGTGGTTACAGTGGTAACAGCAGCAGCAGTAGTAAGTGGAGTAGAAGCAACAGCAGGAGCAACACCACCAGCAGCAGCAGGTTGAGGAGTCAGGGAGGTGGCGCCAGTGGTAAGCTCAACTGCAGCAGCAGCAGCAGCAGCAGCAGCAGCAGTAACAGCAGTACTTACAGCAACAGCAGCAGCAGGAAGTCGAGCAGTAGAAGCTGGGGCAGCATTGCCATTGGCATCAGCAACAGCAGCAGCACCAGCACCAGCACCACCAGCAGGTTGAGCAGTCAGGGAGGCAGCAACAGCGGCAAGTTAAACCCCAAATTTGCTACCAGCGGCAGCAGCAGCGGTAGCAGCAGCGGTAACAAGAAGTCACCCAACAGGAGCTGTAGCAGCATCGTTATTGGCACAGCAGCTGCAAGGAGTTTGCAATCGCAAGGGAGCTATAGTTTCAAGGCGCGACCTTCGCAGAGAGAACAAAGAGGGGTGCAGAACGTGTCAGCGAGAGAGGCAACGGCTGATCCTTTGTTAAGCGACTCGTTTAGCAAAGAGTTCCAGGGAGCCATGCAGCAAGCTGCACCTTCAGCTGCGCCTTCACCTGCTGCTACAAATACATCAGGTGCTAGAGAAGAACCAACTCAGCAGGGGGCATTTTCCCATCAGAATCAGAATCTGATGCAGCGGCGACCGTCCCGGCTGCTACTGCCAGACACAGATGCTCCTCTCACTTCCCAGCTTCCAGCGCATCGTTTTGACCTGACCAACCCACCACTTCCCCAGCCGCACCCTGCATTCCAGCATCATCCTTCCTCCCGTCATTTTGCCCCCTCTCTCAATCTCTCTCCCCCTCTCGGTCCACCTTGCTCCAATGGCCCTCTCTCTGCCCGGGTCCCAACTCGCTCCCTCCGATCCCAGTCCTGCCGATTCTCTTCTGAGGCAGTTATTCGGGCAGAGAGGCAGCTTATAAGGGGGATGGAGGATCCGCAGGGAAGGGCGGCATACTGGATGGGGGCGAGCTACAGTGGGAAGCTCGAGCGTGTTTCACCTGAGAGGGTTGTGAACGCTCATAGGGGAGGTGCGTGTTGGGACGAACAAGCAGTAGAGGGAGGGGAGAAGGAAGGTTTGGAGGAGTCTCCTGGGGTGGTTGATGGTTCACACAAGGCGTTTGAGGGTGACAACTGGAGGGGGTCGGTGACATCATTGGTCGAGGAAGGAGATCTAGGCAGGACATTCCCTAGGTCTAGATCAACTGTGAAGAGGGACGAATTCGGGTATTGCATGGATGTGTGATCTATTATACAAAAAAATGTGCCTAAGTTTACCCTATACTTGTCATTCCTTTCTTAGCAAGCTCGATCTCCAGTAAGCGCCCCAACGAGGGCAGAAGGGCTGTCGTATCACTTTGTAATGATGTTTATTGGTTGCCACGGGGTGGATTACAGGTACCGACCTTTCCCAAACGAGTGATTTTTTTGTTGGTCAGTTCCACTGGCGCTGAATCGCAGGCACGAGGGATCCGTGTGCGATGAAACCATCTGCGACTTCTGAAACAGTCGTCAGGAGGTCGCCGTTCCCCCATCACCACCAGCTGAGTATCTGAGCGACGTCGTTCACACAGCACATTGTCGGCCCAAGCCGCAAGGACGGCCCTGTAACGCCCCAATTGTGTCGGCTGCTCTGTCGCGAGCGTCGCTGCAGAACGGAGGGAAGGCTTGGTGGGGCAGGCAATTTGGCAAATTCTCCCACTTCCACCACACATATAATCGTCGCAGACGCGGCCCTTACTCATCGCCAACTCAACTTCAACCCATCGCCAACAGCTCCTAGATCCCTGACGGTTTCCAAACTTTCTCTGCTGCGACAAATTCCTGCAATCTCTCAGTGACAGAGTGAACATTTTCCGCGCCATGACAATCCCCGTCTCTCGTTCAATCCTGATCTTCGTCGTCCTCGCTGGATGTGCGATCTTCGTGTCGGCGATTCAGACACCCAAGTCCCTTTCGCCGTTCGACGAAGCCGTTCTGAAGCTGAATAACTCGGGTTACACCAGCTTCGTCTCGCTCGTCAGCGCCTATGGTGCGCTACGATTCACGTCGTCGCCTATTCGCTTTTCGCAGAAGTCCGCAACCCCTTCCAACCGACTTTCCACTTCTCTTCACCTCTGCTTTCACCATCCCTCCAATTTCCCGATTCCCAATGTTGACCCAACCGAACGAGTGCTTCCCAAGTTTTCCTGATTCCCCTCCGAAGTCTTCGCGTCTCGCAAAACGAGCCTCCTAAATTTCTCCGTTCCGTTCCATTCCGTCCCTCCCCGTCCCCGCGTGCAGGCAAGATGAAGCAGGTCAAGGCGGCTCTCTCCAAGCCGCTCACCATGCTCGTCCCCAGCAACGCAGCGATCGCCAAGGTCAAGATAACGAGTTACTCTACAGCGCAGCTGTCCACAATCGTCATGTTCCACGCGATCAAAGGCGTCACTCCATTCCAGAAGCTGCGAAGCCTCCCGAAGAACACCACGCTTCCCACTCTCTCCACCGACCTTAGGTCCAAGAAGCATCTGTCGCTTACGAAGCTCTCCCCGCCGAAGGCGCGCTGGGTGGCGATTCAGGGCAAGGCGGGGAGCAAGCTGATGATCACTAAGGGTGACTTTTACCTAAAAGCCGGGAAGCTGGCGGTTCACACGACGGATGCGATTGTGTTCCCAGTGGGAATGAAGTGACGCGGCGAGGTAAAAAAGAGCCGGCTCCAATGCTGGTGGCCAGCGAATAATCCAGTGGGCATTCCTATGGAAGGTCAGGGTGCTGGGAGCATCAAACGCAGTAATAATGGGCCAAACGGCGGTTACACTCAACATAGGAAAAGGCCAGAGGCGAAATTTAGCATTTATTAGTCGATCAAGTTATGCAGCTGAGAAGCGAGTCTGAAACGAGGGGAATTGTAATGCTCGCAGCCTTTTTTTCACTGAGTACAATTCAGCTTTCAACAAACCATGGCTTGAAAAAATCACCAACTCAAAATGTCATCAATACGCGAGCCTATTTTCCGACAAATGTGCTTCATCTGGTACGCTGCAGACCTGAAAAAGACCACGCCGGAAGGTGGGTTGAAATGCGAGGATACGACAAACGCGAGCATGTTGGCCGCGAGCTTTGCTGGAGTCATTTGACGTATGACGACGAACATGGTCAGGACTCTGGGGAAGCGGCTAGAGACATGGTTGGGCAATGGGCAGTGCTCACAGTGTGATCCCAGTTCGACATCCCTCCGTAAAAAATCCTCTGATCCCACGCGGCCGTCACGCGATTATTTTCTCTCTCAAACAGACGGAAATCACGAAGTCGTATAAAATTACTTGGACACGACACATGTCCATATGCATTCGCTAGTCCAATGCCTAACATAAATCTCAAAGAGCAACTAATTCGAGGCTTTAGGAGCTTCTATTATTGACAGGACCGTTGCCGCTTCTTACACGACCGCTGCTGCTTACAGCACCTTGCCCAAGAGGGTAGCAGGAAAAGCGACGGCGTCGGTGGTGTGCACGACGAGCTTGCCGGTCTTAACGTAGAAGTTGAGCTTAGTGATCGCCATAGAACTCCCCTTCTTCCCCTGCAGCACCACCTGCCCCTTCTTGTTGTTCACCAGCTTCTGCAGCGTCATGGGCTTGCCCGCCTTGGTGCTCGCGAGGGTCGTGATGTTGCTCCCCAAGGGCAGGTTCTTGAGCGCGTCGGCCCGAATGACCTTTTTGAAGGCGGAGCACCCCACCACCACCATCAGCTCCGTGGACTTGTACTTGGTGATCTGCAGCTTGCTGATCGCCGTGTTCGACGGCACCAGCATGGTTAGAGGCTTGGAAAGTGCAGCTTTAACTTCCTTCATCTTGCCTGCAGTGGAGGAAGGCAGGGAGAGAAGCGCGGGTGGGAGGGACGGGGAGAGGTTTAGGAGAGGGAATTGCCTCGTCGAAGGGCGTCAGCGGGCCTGTTGGCGCCCACGCGGTCTTCCCTGGAGTTGTCGTCTTCCCCGGCGGAGCTGGCGTTGTCTTCGGCGCGGTTGGTGTTTTGGGCGCTGTTGTTTGAGCTGAGCAGACGACGGCGAACCCGACGAAAGCGAGCAGCAGGAGGGATGATCGGGAAACCGCCATGGCTGAGAGTGTGGAACGAGGACGCAAAAGTCTGGGGAAACTGAATCGAGTCGATAATCAATATGTGATGGGGTTGGTTGGAAAGGTAAGATGCAATCGTCGTCAGGGATGAATGCTGGGATGGGAGAGGATGTTAGAAATAGATTGCAAATACCACTTTTGTATTTGCACTTTTATATCCTAGTTTAGGTTGTGAATGTTCTAGTGGGTTGGGGTGTACTCACAAATCCCAACCTCATCCAATTGTGATCCCCACAATCTCCAATTACCCAATTGGAGATTCCGGAGATCCCAATGGGGATTCCCTCCAATTCCCCCTTCATCCATTCTCTCTCACCTTGCCATGTACTTATAGAGCCTTGGGCTCCTTACCGAATTAATCATTTCAACTCTATTTCTTACATGGTATCAGAGCGACCTATCCGCACACGCGGATCAAGGTTCTAATCTGAACGTGCCCGCGCTACGCGCACTTCATCGTCGCGACATTCGTTTCAAGTCGTCGGAACTTCGACGTGCTCCACTCTGCAGTCGCGCCTCTCATCGTCGACCGCCTTCGCGCTCGACCTCGTTGAATTTCTCATCTCTGAAGCTTTCACGCTTCTCATCGTCGATTTCCTCCTCGGTTCTCCTTGGTCGAATCTCAATTTCGACCATCTCTTAAAACTCGTTCTCGAGTTTCCCCTCAGACCCCGCCAGAATAGGCGAACTCCCCTCGCGAAATCGCCTCCACGAACGTCTCGCGTCAAATCAAGAGCAGGTACACAGGTTGAAGCGGAGCGGAGCTGGTTGCGGAGCTGGTTGCGGAGCTGGTTGCGGAGCTGGTTGCGGAGCTGGTTGCGGAGCTGTGTAGCTGCGGGACAGGGCCTGGGGGTGTGTGGGGGGGTGTGTGGGTCCGGGGTTAGACATAGGCTCAGATTCAGTTTCAAGTCGGCGTTTTAACGAATTTTCGCCGACGCCATTTCCTACTTAGCGGCATTTTGATACAGCCGTCAGAGTGATTTTCAGCAATTCTCGTCGACCAATTTCCAGAAGTGCCGCGCTGCACACCGACAATGGCTTACTCAACCACTTCACTCGCCAACCCGATCCCGCTCCTTCGTCTCGAGCCGGACGGTACATGCTCCAACTACAAGGCTTGGCGCTATGGTGTCGACAAGCACCTCCTCAGTCGCGAGGTGAAGGGGCTCGAGCTCACCAATGTCCTTCTCAACATCGGTGACGGCAAAGAGCCTCCTAAACCCGAGAGGTCCGCCGATCCAGCTAATGCCGCCGCCGAAGCAGTTTATGCTGCTGCACTGCTCAAGTACAAGAATTGGGAGAAGGCCGATGGTGCGGTCATTAGTGTCTTCATGGGCACCACTCCTCCCGAACTCGTCGAAACCTACCACAACTACCCGTCTGCCAACGCCATTTGGCTCTACCTCGAGGATCACTTCCTGAACAAGACTGCAGTGGGAGTTGCTATACTCATCCCCAGCATGTTCCAAGTGCGGCTCGAGGACTCGCCAGACATGGCGGACTATGTCACCAAGGTGCAGTCCATTCATGGTGAACTCAAACAGTTGGGGATAGTCTTCCCCGAGCAAGCCCCTGCAGCCGCTCTCCTAGTCGGCCTCACTCCGGCATACGAAGTCACACGCAAGATGCTCTTGGGCCTTGCTCCTGCAGACCTCATATTTGCCAAGGTCTCATCCGCGCTCCTTTCTGCCGAAAAGGACAACAGCGCTCAAGCCAAGGCCAATGCAATCCGCGCTCTCGTGCCTCAAGCCTATGCCGCTTCGGCGCCATTCCAGCGCAACCGCTCCCCCCCGTGTCCCTATGTCATCAAGCGCGGCCCTCGTGCCGGCCAGGTGTGTGGCGGCACCAACCACGCCCTTGCCTCCTGCTTTAAGGGGAAGGATGACGAGTGGTATGCTGTCAATGGGACCGCCTCGAAGCCGCCAAGCTGGATGGTGAATCGTGCTCCTCGCCAAGTCAATCAAGTCGAAGCGCAGGAATCCGTGCAGGCTGCTGTGGCTGCACCTGCTGATGTGCGCCTCAACATGTTGTTCCCTGGCACTGCCATGATTAATGAGACGATTTCGCAGTATCCTGGCTCACAAAGCACCTCAGCCACAATAGAGTTCACCCTCGACAGTGGGGCCACTCACACGGTTCTCAAGGAAGAACACTCCTTCAAGCCATACGAGACACCAATCCGTCTACTTGGAGCAGACTCCAGTTTCACAATACACGCCAAGGGCTCCTCCACAGTTCCGTGCCCAGCTTTTCCTTCGGGCAGTGTGACTGGCATGTGTGTTCCCACACTACGCCACAATCTCGTGGCCCAACACGAGATCCAACGGGCAGGCGTCACCACGATCTTCCCAGCACACTCGGATCACTGTGACATCTTCGACCCTAAGTCCAACAAGCTCCTAGCACGCTTCACACTCAACAGTAGCAAGCTCTACACGCTGCGTTCACCTGCACCTCTCGCCGCCCTCTCCCAAACGCAAGCTGCCAGCACCACTCCGTGTTCGTGTCGCAGCTTCGCCAACCCAACCATCCTCTACCACCATCGCTTGGGTCACCCCAACTTCCGTACACTTGCCGACATCGCTTCCAAGAAACTTCTTCTTGGCCTCCCATCGACGCTTCCTCCACCAACAGACTCACCTGCACCCACCTGCCTGGACTGCACCAAGAGCAAGCTCAGGCAGCAGTCGCATCCTTCCTCCCCATCCGTCGCAGCTGCTCCGCTGGACCTAGTGCACATGGATGTCTGGGGCCCAGCTCCAGTCGCATCCCGAGGCGGTCATCGGTACTTTCTTACACTAGTCGATGACCACTCGCGGTATGTTTCTGTGCACCTCCTGCATACCAAGGCGGAGGTACCTGATGTCATCATGGCGTGGGTGCGCCAGGCTCAAGTCACGTTCGGCACTCCTCTGAAGTGCCTCCATTCTGATGGCGGGGGAGAATTTCGCAATGGCAAACTCGATAACTTCTGTGCGGCCCAAGGGATTCGGCAAACCTTCACGCTCCCCGAAAGCCCGCAGCAGAATGGCATTGCAGAGAGCCGCAACCACACGTTGGTTCAGATCGCTCGCTGCCTCCTCAGTCATGCCAACGCACCACGGTCACTCTGGGGATATGCCCTCTTCCATGCGGCACTCCTCTACAATCTTTATCCGCATCCCCACCGGCCCGACACCACACCTACCGCTCTCTGGCTTGGGGTCACGCCTTCCGCCCGCTCTCTACGCGTCTGGGGGTGTACCGCGTATGTGTTGCTAAGCCCCCACACGCGCAGGAAGCAAGGTGGCAAGCTTGGTCCCAAAACCCAGACCTGCATGTACCTGGGGCACAACTCCGACTCCCCAGACTACTTATTCCTCAACCCTATCACCAGACAGCTGATTCGCAGCCGTGATCTCGTCTTCGATGAGACACGCTCATTCCACTCTGCGACCATAGGCGAGCCTCTTCCACCTCCCCCGACGCTTGTTTGGGCAGACTTCGATGCCCCACCTCCGGCCGCTGCCCCTTCTCCAGGGCCTTCTCCGTCCGGCGTGTCTCACCCGGCCTCCCCAGTATCCTCCGCAGCGGCACCTCCTCCTGCTCCGCCTTCCCCGCGCGTCGAGCCCGGCTCACCAGTCTCCTATCGGAGGCGCCCACTCCCTCCAGTCCCACCGCAGCCGCCTTCGTCTTCGGTCTCTAGTCGCACTCGTTCCAAGGGACTGGCTCCGCCTCTCGCCTGGGGACCAGCCGCCTTCTCCATTCGGTGTTCGGTCACCCCGCCTCCTCCTGCCGGGGGTGATGTCCCCTCCATCCGTATTCCCCCCCGTGCACTTCTGGAGGACAGGCATGAGGAGATGTTTGGCCTTCACGCGGTCTGCCAATTTCTCTCTCACATCTTCCCGGACATTACTGACTGCCCTTCCCTCAACTTCACCGAGAACCTGACCATTCCGACTCCTCGCACAAAAGAGGAAGCTCTCTCGGGGCCTTATAAGAAGGAGTGGAAGGCAGCAATGGATGTGGAGAACGAGGCGTTCATTCGCAACAACAGCTTTGACGATGTTGTTCCCCCTTCCGGTGTCAACATTGTCGGCGGAAAATGGATCTTCCGAGTCAAACAACTCCCAGCCGAAGCTCCACTGTTCAAGGCACGATACGTGGCGAAGGGTTTCACCCAAAAGGAGTATCTCGACTGCTTCGAAACATTCTCGCCCACGGCCAAGCTCCCGACTGTGCGCGCTCTTCTTGATATAGCCGCTCGCGGCAACTTCGAGATCAAGTCCATGGACGCCTCCTCCGCCTTTCTCCAAGGCCAGCTCAAGGAGGATGTTCACATGGAACGCCCACCGGGGTTTCCTGGCACTTACCCTGCCAACACAGTGTGGAAGCTGAAGCGCCCAGTGTATGGCCTCAAGCAGGCTCCTCGTGAGTGGCACAACAAGGTGAAGGAAGTCCTCCTCGCACTTGACTTCCATCCCTCTGCCTCAGATTCCAGTCTCTTCGTTCGTCACTCCTCCGAGCCCTTCTACATCCTCGTCTACGTCGACGACTTCATTCTAGCCGCCAGAGAGCCAGCCGACATGGCAGCTGTCCAGTCTGCTCTCAGCTCCGCCCTTCTCATGAAGGATCTTGGTGACCTCAAGAACTACCTGGGGATGGAGATTACTCGTGACCGCCAGGCTTGCACGATCACCCTCTCCCAGGA